ACTTAGAGTTAATTAGTGTGATTATTTTCTTTGAGGATGATAGTAACTAGATTTCGTAGACAAAAAGCCAATGAGATTTTGAGCCTTTAGTCTGATACATCCATAACAGTCTCACTATTTTCTTTTATGAGTGATACTCTTTCATGGACTTGTTTCTCTAGAACTTGCCTTGATTTCCTTCGAGGTCACATTGATACATGCATGCATGAACATGATTAAGGTCATCTTTGTTGCATAAGTTAGCCACCTTAGCCAAATAGCCTACCATGTAATTAATTTTTCCCTTGTTGAACCCCTTTGAGCCTTATAGTCTTTTTCTTTTTTTTTTTGAACTCATGTTACAAGATTTAAATCTGGAAAAACAATATCTTTACCCAAGCCGTAAAGCAAGTGGAGTGTTGTTCTTCATTTTAATACATATGGGAGTGTGAAAGAAATAAGTGTGGGGGTGTATGAATCTATGGTAGAACTACAATTGGTGTAATGGAACATATTACTCAATTTCAATTCATAAATTCCATTATTAGTACAATATTTTGAGTTAAGAAAAAAAGAGGGGATAAAAAAAAAAGTGATGGAGGAAATGATCTTCAATGTTCCAAAATTATTCTATGTTCGTAATTCCTCCTAGTATCACAAGAAAATGAGTGGGTTGTGTGAAATAGATGCAAGGAAATTGTGAATTGAGAGATTGATCTTACAGGTTTTGTATATACATTTGAGCTAAGTTAATTCATCTTTACTCCACTAGTTTCAATGGCGTTTGAGTCACTTACCCAAATACTTCCCACCTGGACCCTAAGCCACGTTACAATCCGTAGAAAAGACTTTATGATTTGTGTAATGCATGTAATCTAATTGGTGGAGAATGAGAAGATATGCAAGCATATGGTAGATCATGTTTATTGGAATGAACTTGTGCGAAACACTTACCCATTAAACACATGAGAGTTGAATGCTAATATTCCGTAAAGGTTTACAAGTTTGTTTTACTCCATCTTTTATGAGAATACTTGCTAATTGATTATAAGTTGTGTAAGAAGGTTTATCATGATGTGTTATGTTTTTTTAGAGAGTTTGATTGTTCTATGTTGATTGCATTACAATTTTGATACTTTTGGGAAAAATAAAATTTGAGTTTACTCGAGGATAAGTAAAAGCTAAGTGTGGGGAGATTTGATAAGACATAAAATGTCATGTTTTATATCCATTAATACTTGTATTTTTGTGATTAATTAACGCCTAAATGTAATCAGTACCCTTATATTTTGGTTTAGGTTGTAAATAGATGGAAAATATGGATTTGGAAGAAAGGAACAAAAAACGTGCGAAAACGAAGGAATTCCTAAGTTTGGGGACTAGAGTGTAAACATCCAATAGTTGATTCGGATCACAAAACGATGATTGAAGATCATATGACATCAATTGGATGCAATTGGAGATCAAAGGAATGAAATAATGTTGAAACATTTTCACAAATCAAATTCCAGTCGAAGAAGTTATGCGCTGGATTTTTAGCCTCAATTTGAGAGCCATTTTTTGAGTAGCAAACAATCGAATTGGAAAATATTTATTTCATAAATAATTGTAGCTCTTTAAGTCATCTTTTCAACGCACTTTGAATCACCTCAATCGGAGTTCAAAAGAGAAAGTTATGATCAAATTATCGAGAGCTGTCCAGGAACAACGCGTGTAACACCATGCGTGTGCATAGGCAAACAATGGTGCGTGCGCAGCACCTCTTTTTCTCCAACCCGAGAGCAAAGTCATCCAATGGTGCGCGCGCAATGAAATATATGGCACGCGAGCACGGGCCAAAATTTCTGTGACGGGCCAGTTTCCTTATTCTGATGAAATTCTACATGGAAGCAATATTTTTTATATCATATATATACCTAAAGACACCAAAACGAAAGGAACCTCCTTTCTAACCTAAAAATCTTATATTCTACATATTCTTGGAGAAAAAGAATGGACACCATTCCCCTTCTACTCTATTTTGCTCTTAGAATTGATGATGTACAACTAATTTCTCTCTTGATCGAAGGATATTGAAGCCTTGGAATTGTTTTCAATTGTGAGATCCACCTAATTTTCATTGTTTAATTTATATTTTTAGTATTGAATATTCTTCTATGCTTAATTTCATTATCGTTATGTTTGATTACTAAAAGGAATCATTAGTTTATCATGCGTTTCAATCTATAACTAAGTTAAATATCAAATCCGTAATTGTTTAATTAATTTAATTTGTGAAGTAACTAGAATTAGTAATTTGCTGCTATGAAAAATTATTAAATCTTAAGAAGAATATTTATCTAGGTTAAATGCAAACACTTGGCTTTTGTTATCTAGTTCATTGATTTCTCTAATTCCGAAAGCCATTATTAAATTAAATTCTCACGCTTGTTTAGAATTGTTTGGTAATGAGGATTAATTAGATCGCTTGTTTCTAATTAATTAAAAAGGAGAAATAGGAAATTGTTTCGAATGGGAAATTATTTTCCAACGATGAATACTAAACGTAAGAATTAATAATTATTTGTGGATCAATGACCAATTGTAAATCTCCAACGGTGGATGTTGACTTATACCATGGTTCGTTCTATTGATTTCATTTAATTCGATAATTTGCGTTTACATTAATTATTATTTTTAATAATTGTTTGTTTCAAAACCAAAAACCCCATTTTAGTTAATTTAGCATAAAAGATAGACTAAACACTTTTCGTGGGATCGACCCTTACTTCCACTACTATATTTATTTTGAGGAGTATAGATTTTAATTTGGAGTGCTTGCGACAACACGCACCAATGACTCAAACCAGCTAGTGTTTGTGTTGGACAGGAAGAAAAGTATTAAGCGGGCAATTACGAGGTTGCTCCTGCTTTCTCACCACGGTGCCTACATCTGGCATATCGAGAAAAATCTTATTGCTAGGTGTAGCAGCAACAATGTCATATTCTTGTTCAAGCGCTCAGCGCTAGCATACCGCCTATCGAAATTTGATCAGTTCATGATACGGATAAGAACCATTCGACCATCAATGACATTTTACTTGGAATGTACCGATATATCCACCTATTCACGGGCAAATTTTATTGGTAATCGATATAACGTTATGATAAATAATATTGTGGAGTCACTAAATTCAGTCCTAAGGCGACAACGAAGTTTCCCTATAACATCGTTGGTCGAAAATATTACGTTATTGATGCAACAATGGTTCTACGAGAGAAGAAGCGCATTCACTAAATATAGTACTATCATGACAACAAAAATTGATGATGAACTGAGAAAATCGTTTGACACCAGTGCAACCTTATAAGTACGAAATTTGGATGAACTTGTTTTTAAGGTAGGTGTAGCTACCGAACTCTGTAATGTCGACCTTATAGGTAACACATGTTCATGTCGAGAGTTTCAGATGAGACAAATCACATGTTCACATGCATCCTGAGATGCTTGCACAAAAGGAAAATCACTATATGACCCGTGCTCCTCTTACTACACCACAAAATGTTGGCGAGTTACGTATAACGAAGTTCTTCACCCCATTGGCCGAGAGTCAGATTGGATTGTTCCTCATTCCATTTGTTCCGTCGAAATTTTGTCCCCAAATATACGTAGAGCACCAGGTCAACCTCCTACCCAACGTCAACAGTCAAGAACTGAAATGTCGACTTTGACATGAAAATGTGGCCAATGTGGAGGTTCTGGACATAACGGGCAAACATGTAAGAATTCGACACTTTTAAGTGACACATACATTTGAATGACATTGTGTATTCTGATCGTCAAATGCTCAGATAACATGGATTATCAATGTTTTAAATATATTATTGTGCATTACTTGTTTTCTATCTTGTTCATCTCTAGTTTTGAATGTTTTGAATATATTTTTTACTTTTACTTCTTGTTTTTTCTTTATTTTCTCTTCATAGCACTTATTTGCAATTACTTATTCTAAAATTAAGTTCGTAATACATTCCCAATCCTTTATACCGATTCATCCCATTTTTGGTGATTTTTCTCTTATATTATTCTTTTTGTTCAAAATTTTATAATGCACAAACAGGAAAATTCGTATAGACATTTCACCAAGTACAAACAAGAAAACCCAGGTAATTTAAATAGCTAAAAACAAGGGAATTGGTGATCACATATGTTCTTATGAGCATTTCATTACGATGTCATATCGTTCATCATATAAGTGAACAATCATATATCTAATTCATCGTTGGGATTTTCTTAATCATTGTAAATACGATGTGGTAATGGATACAAAGCAAGCCATGAATGACCCGTTCTCCTAAATCACTAGAGTAAACGAAATGGTAATTATAACAAAAGAAAATCATAACTCCAATGCAGGTCGTAGGCGACTACTATACAAAATGGTGATCACTCCAAAAAATATCCATCACCCATATGGATTTTATAGAGTTAGTATATGTACTTAAACATTTTACTTACAAAGATTGAATCTTCTACATATCCTCCACCATAGATAAAGAGGACATATTACTGTCATACTCGTTGTTGGAGCTAACCCACTTGCATGAGAATATATCTCACTAAACCACTTGCTGAAGTCATTCATAGTCATTATTTATGTATTGTTATTTCACATCATAATGGTTGAGAATGTACTTGTACTTGGCATACCAATATTAATTAACATCTGAATTGCTATAGTAATTATAAGTTTTGTAATTAATAGTCCAATTTGTTCGGTAGTAAATTGGTTGCAATTAATTCTTCATTAAAATTGGTTGGATTGCCTTTATCTTGACATTTGATGTCGTTCTCGACATTTGAAATGTTGTTATCGACATTAAATGGCTGTTAATCTCGACGCTTGACGTTACAGTTGTCTAGAACGACAATTAGACCAAAACAAGAGATATCTCTACATTTCAACGATTTCCTTACATTTGATATGTAGTTTTCGACATTAAATAGCCGTGAAGTTTGAAATTTCATATAAACCACTAAATTTGAATCAACCCAAGTTCATATTACGTACCATCATATAAATCAAAATATGTAAACAACTAAATTCAAATCAACATAAAGCTTGATATTTCATATTGCGTACCAAAATACATGACCAAATACCACTATATAAACCACAATACATATTGCCTACCACCATATAAATCAAAATATGCAAACCACTAAATTCGAATCAACATAAAGTTCATATCCAATCACCATTATGTACCGTAAACTAAAATACACAGACTACGCATCCCTCTTACCCCTCTTCCTACCGAATCAGGTGAACAGCTTCTTTGTGTTCGCACTAGCCTTCTTCAACTTCGACGATTGAGGTCTGCATGTAGGTGGATCAGCAGTAGACGCATCAACTGTAGGTACAATGGTTGGCGCCTCTTCCACAATATAACAAGCGACGTAAACTGACCCAATAACTCCAACCCCACCTCTCGACGTTATGGACACATCAGGGATATTGCAAACAACCTCTTCGGTTGCCTCTCCGACATTCTGTTTGTCCGCAGAAATACTGGGAGTTAAAACATCACGTCGGGGCACATCTCCACCGTAATCATCATGACCAAATCCACCATACTCGTCAGCAACATTATGTTGCCCAATTTCTGTAACAACTTCATCAAACCTACGTCGGAGCACATTTATCTCATCAGTGACATGATTTCTCAAATCGCACACATGACCTCCCAGATCATTTTGGAGACTAGCAAATCTTATGTTCATCTCCTCCCTAAAATCGCCCATCCTGCTCTCAAATGCCTCCCGTTGTTCGTTCAAGAGAGCCTTATCTCATCTAAAGACACAGGCTTTTTGATGACCAGATCCTCATGCTCTTTTTCTCCACCTTCAACGTGATGCAAATTTCGATGACGAAATCTACATGTGTTGCCTCTCCGAGATTTATTTGATCGATAGTTGTTGTCATCGTTCCGTATGACCATCATTTTTAACTGGACAAGCTTGTATTTCTATTGATTAAGCAACGAGACTGTCTAGAAGGGGGTCAGCTATGTCTTCCAATGGAACTAGTCGACGAAGTACGGCTGCAATTCTTCTGCAGCAATTGGGCGTAGCATCACCCACAAGTGTACCTACAGGGGAAAGAAAAATAGGCGAAATGAAATATTATATATTGCGATAGTGTAACGCAATTATGTATGTAAATCTCTCACATGTGTCTTCTCAAAACAATCTGAATATGTGATGCGAACCCCGTAGCAACGTTGACTACGAAACCCACAACGAGATTGACGAACCCAAGAAAGCCAAATTAATCCAAGAGTTTAGGATTAACCCCAAAAGAAAGTCGAACCAAAAAACCCAACAAGAACGACGCTTGAAAGACCCCTTGATCACGCAATTCAAGAATTAAATCCGGTTATTTGAACGCCACAAGTTAACACTTGATAAGTTCGAAATTGTTCAATGAAGAACAATGAAAAGAAGACAATACGCCTCACTTTAATTCAATATCAATAATGTCAAAAAATTTTAACATTTGAATGGAAACTCCTATTTATACTAAACCTAAAAACTAGGTAAAAATCGTGCAAAAGTCGATCATAATCCCCAAAATATGGAAAAAAAAAATAAAAAACTAACAAAATATGAAAAATTACCAAAATTATAAAATTCACCAAATTTTTGGTCTGTGCGACCACATGGTTCAACCAAAAACCCATCTTAAGTTTCGGTATGCCTCCATGCGGTCGCATGGTGTTTTAGCTGTGCGGTCGCACAGGCTTGTTTTCAGCCTCCGATTTCGTCGCTTGATAACAAATTGATCCAAGTTGATTCGGCCCTTGACCCGAACATGAAAGTTACTCCATTTTAAGTCCCGAACATGGTTCCATCAATGGTTTCTTGAACGAGCAATCCCATTGCTTGTTTCACTTGCTTTGCCCTTGATCGCGTCATTGGTCCACCATCGACTATCAACGGGTCTCGTCTCGCACTCGCCTTCGTCGGGCTCGACTCTTGGATCATATCAATATGTTCAAGAATGAGGTTGTTTTGTTCTAGACCATCGCAACATCCTCGAAACATCGTCACAAGTCTTACTCGTACGCCCAAATCTACATGACATTTATAACAGTAATAACCATATTCGGAGGTACATAACAATATGCGATGAAAAGAACTGAATGAACCAAAATACTTGTATACCTAGACAACGAGAGGAAATTCGTACAACATGTAAGTCATCCTATCACAATCGTTCACTTTTGTCATGTCCGCCTTTCTTTCCCATCTCCATAGCAGTGATTTGATAAGAAGTTGAAAACATACTGTCTGTCATGGGTAGACATTGAAGAAATCCAAGTCATCAACGATGGAGAGAGTTGTCGGATGTATTCCTATATTTCCGTCTCTTGAATTAAATACCCTTTTCAATAATTAGTGCCAACCCAAGCTTGTAACGATCATTATGGTTGGGTCATTTCAAGAAAACTTTCTCCAGGTCGCTACAAGTTACCCAGTCCATATTAGCAAACATTCTATCCTGTAAACAGGTTTTCTCTAGGATTTTTTCAACTTTGGTATCTTTAGGCACTCAATAGCACTTCAAACCGATGATTAATGCGAACTCCAACAGTTCAAATCGTGCGAACCTTTGGTTCACCTTGAACCAAGCCTCAAATCGCTTTTGGCAGACCACCGATTTGTTTACCATTTCATGAATTAATTAAGCAGATAGTTTTAGATCCGGTAACATTGCAACATGTCTTATACAACTGTCCTCCAACATAAGCTTTTGTTATAGATTCAATTTGTTGAAGACAACTGTTATGTATTTTGTGTTGCTAACCTGTGAGGCATGGGTCGGAACACGTTCTTCCTTCGAAATGTTATATCGGTGTGACATACTCATCTATAAATCAAAACAAATAAAAACAACACTTTCAACAAATTTAGTGCGTGAAATGTGCTAAATGCATGACTATATTGAAATGTGTCAAATGCATACAAACACGAAAGGATAAAAATGCGTGAAATGTGCCAAATGCACTTAATAGTCCAAAATGCAAGAATATACTGATGAAAATAATTTAAATTGTGCAGAATTTGATAAAATGCAACAAAATTGACGAGGACATCTGAAAATAAAAAATAAACAGAAAGCATGTAACAAAATGCACATAAACAATCCAAATTCCAAAAAATATAACAAACAAACGAAATAATTGAAAAACGTAGGAATTATTTTGAAATGCACGAAATGACCGTAATTGCTCAAAATATAACAAAACACATGAAATAGATCACACATATTTCGTGTTCAAAAATACAAGAAAATGAACCAAAATACGAGAATGTACCAAAATGCACTAGTATGATGATTAATATGACATTATACAAAATGCAATAAACTCACCAAACTCTCCTAAATGCATGAAATGCACTAAACATAGAGATGAAAAAGATTATATAAATGAAATGTACAAAACTAAAAGAAAATGAATCAAAATGAGTAAAATGCATTAAAACATACAAAACGGTCCTAAGTGAGTGAAATGTGCTAAAATGGAGTTCGCCTTTTGTTTACCATCCACGATGAAGACAAAAAGTTAATCTGCGGGAAACGGAAAGGCCATGCATCCAGTGGAATATACTAGAAGCAAGAAAATGGTAAGGTCATAAAAGGAAAACAAGATTATCAAGGAATCACTCACAAGTGCAGGTTTCTATCAGAAAGTTGATTGGGAATTGGTCTTATATCTATATGTATAGATTATCAAGGAAAATGAAGCAGTATTTTGTCCACAACTCCAGTTGATTAAATTTATGTAGTTTTCACATCTTCACATGATTTTTCTAAATTAATCATCATATTTTAGTGCAACTTGCCAGCATTTTATTCGGACAATTATTAGGCTACAAGTATACAATATTGTTCTTAACATTGTCAACACTCAACAGATGCATGGTATAAATTATTAGAAATGCATAGCAGTACTTAAAACCAGTTGAATTATTGCAAAATTGAAGCATCAAAGAATTGGAAACTGATAAAAGAATACCTGAAAACTTATAAAACAAACTAATCACGTGCTATACTCAAACAAAGAAAATCCCAAATTTCCACTTTTCTATTGCCTTAGTTCCAAATCAATGCTTAATTTGCTCTTTCATTTTTTCAACTTTTTTAGAAAATCGAAAAGGATATGCAACAAAATGTATTAATATTGATCTAAGAATCCCAGAACAAGATGCAAAAAAAAAAAAAAAAATGGGGGAATACAAACTCAACTCTTAAGACGTAGAGAAATGACTGAATAAAAATTAACCTAATTAGATAACCGGTCATAAATACAGCAAACATTATACAAACGAATCTGAGAGTAATCAAAAGAAATCGATTAATCAATTGTCGCCCAGAAAACACGTGCCTCCCATTAGGTTTTGATCCTTGTCGCCTTTCTTCCTCTTTCCGTCTTTTTCTTCAACATGAAATTGATTAATCAATCAAAAGAAACAAATACAAATAGAATAAAATAAATTAATGGTTATTGAAAACAAGAGATTCAAAAAACAGACCACCACCGAAAAATGTTTCCTCACGAACAACCGACGATCAACTCGGTCGATGTCGACGATTTGAGGAGAAAATAAGAAACGATGTAGCTCGAGTGCATAGAGTATTGTAGGCGTGAGAGAGAAATGGAAGATAGGGTTTGGTTTTGGGTTCGGGTTCGGGAGCTCGTGAAGTTTTGTTATGAAATTTAAGTTTTTTTTTTTAGAATTAATCTAGTGGTACATAATGGGGTGTACCTAAGGGTGTACACCCACCTCACATGGGGTGTGGAGTCTACCCGAATAAGTATTTTTTATTCGGGTGGATCCCACACCCCATGTGAGAGGGGTGTACACGCTTAGATACACCCCTATGTACCATTAGTACCACCGTTTTTTTTTATTATTCTTTAAAGAAAGCGGGTCGGGCCGATTTTGGACGGTTTTTATTGATCAACACGTGACCCGACCTGACCCGACCCAAACATTTAGAGTGTGTTTGATTGGCATGGAAAATATTACCTAGAAAAGAAAATATTTTCGACCTTTTGTGGAAAATAAAAACCACCTCTACCCAAGGAAAATATTTTCCTTAAAAATAAGGAAAATTAGGCATATTTTCAAAAGTTGGAAAATGTTTTTCATGGAAAAAAATAGCAATCAAACACTCCAAGTAGGAATTTGGGTGAAAAATTGATATTTTTCATGGAAAATAAATGTAATCAAACACACCCTTAATGTTGATTGACATTTGAAATGATATGGAAAATTTTGAATTCTAGTGTGGAAATAGAATTTGCTCATAGGGGTATTTTCCTCTAAATAATTTGAAAATGGATATTGACAAAATTGTGGACATTTTATAAATGACTAGGTGAAAATGGATATTATGTGAAATTTCCTCATATAATTATTATTATTTATTTGATACCATATCACTTAAACTTGAGAAAATAGAAGAATTTAATTTAATGGGTTCACTTAGAGTACGGTACCCAGCATTGAGTAATGAGTATAGAGTACACCTGGCCAGATCAGGTCTACTTGGGTTGTGCTAAGCTCGGAAGGCCACTGGACCCAATATTATTCTTTCCTTTTTTCCAAAAGTAACTATTATATTTCCGTGAAAATAAGTGAATTATTAAAGCCATTTATTTTTTGTGATTTAATGACTAAACTTAACTTATAAGTAATCGTAATCTTTGAAGCAAAGCAAAACTTACTGTGGTACTTTTTTATGTTTTTACTTCAGGTATATAAAAAGTCATATGTTGATGGATTCAATTAATTTGGTTATGAGATGGGTTCAATATGGTCATGCTACTAAAATGTACAAAATCAAAATGACAAAGCTACCGTGAGAATTTAATTAGTAAAGAAGAAAATTTGAATATCATAAAATACCTAATTGACTATAAATAAATTAATAATTAGAGTGCATAAAAGAAAAATAAACCAAATCTGTTAAAATTAACTTTTACCAACCCTATGCACAATCATATTATATTAAATTTCGAATCAAAAGTCTGGCACGTACTCATTTAGTTTGATTCAAATTCGAGTGTCGTCTAATCCATAAAACTCAAAGATCTTGTATTCTCCATTATTTTGTTGATAGAACTCCGGAGAATTATTCTTCAACCGGCGAGACTAAGCCCTTGTTGGACACCAATTAATTTATTTTATTTTTTGCCACATGATTATTTTCAATCACATATTCATACAATAAAGTATTTTACATGTAAATTCAAAATTTTTTCCAACTTTCTAACTTTACATTCTTTTTAAAATATTATTCAAAACACCTCCCCCGGGCTAAATTACATATTTATTTATAAGGTGAAAAATCAAAATGTCTTAATCATCAAAATGACAGTTTGAAATGTAGTGTCAAATGTGATTGGAGTAGAGAGAGGACGTGGCAGCTTTTTATTTTTCTTTCTCGTATAAATCTCTCTACCGTGTTTGACCCATTCCTCAATTCAACTTGGGTGGGGATTCCTGTGTCCGTAAGTCTCATCATTTTATTCCTAGTTGGCCACTATTAGATCTGGTTGTCATTTTTATTTTGTTTGATACATATGAGTCATCAGCCTGTCGATGTGTAATTGGAATTTTAAAATACGCAATGAGGTGTACTTTTAAAGGAAGTAGTTTGTTGCACTTGTCAGTCTAACTATCGTTGAAATTTTGGAGACCTGTTAAAAATATCTTTGATCGTGCTTTTCTCAAACTCATGAGTTTACAATCTATCTTTTCCAAAAGAAAAGGAAAAAAAGCACTAGCTTGAACTTTTAGTAGAAACAAGTGCAATCATATCCATAGAAAGTAAATGATTTATAAATTTTGGTGCTCTCTCAATCTCTCTAACAGGATTATATTTTTTATATATAGATTTTAATGTTGACAAAGGAATGCGATGTTAGTATTTAGCAAGAATTAGTCTGTGCGTACATACTAATTCTTCACCGAACAATTTCAGAACAATGGAATGGATGGAGTGGATATTTTTTTTTACAATTTTTCACCCCATGTGAGTGTTCGTAGGATTTTGTCATTTTGTGTAACCCCTACCAGTGCACCAGGAATTATTCATTTAACACAATTTTTTAATTGTTTTACCAATTGTCATGTGACAAGTGTTAATGTCTATTTTGTAGAGAATTGTCAAGAGATCAGATATCTCATTCACAGTGTCTAATCTTAGTTGATCAAGTTGGACACGTAAAACCTTGGATTACCACGTTCTGTTCATGCAAAAATGCATGCACTTGGAAAAAAAGGAAACAACTTGCGTTTGTCAAAACTGAAGGAACATGCCTTGTTACCCATTTCAACATCATAAAAAGAGGCAAAAGCGGTCCATTCACTGCTTTTTTACTTCAATTCTCTAAGGATTTATCAGAATAATTAAAAATTTATATGTTTAGATATTTGATGATATACCATCCAATCTAGGAACAAGAAAAATCAACATTTCTGTAGATAGTTATACACGGACATTGGAGCGTGATTCACTACTTAAATTCGTCATATCAGTGACGTAGTCAAGACTCGAACTCAATTCATGCTTAATTTAACTAGGAAAATTTTTTCAACGATAAAGATAGTAATATCAAAAATGAAAATTTAAAAGTAAAAATCACATAAAATATATTTTCTGAAAATTCAGGGGGACCTATATCCCACTTGACACCACCTATCACTGTATAGAATTACGTTGACATAGTGACTTTTGAGTGGATTGTAGTATGGATCAAAAACAATGAATTTGTGGACATTTTTTCGTTGACATGCGGTGAAGAAAATATTTTAGATTTTAGTCAATATTATCGCCTTACAATCGACAAAATATCAGTGCAACCTTCCAAATTCAAGGAGGCTTCGTCCCACCCGGCTGTTGAGTGTGACTTTTTTGTGTTTTTACATTTGTTCCCCCAGTACCTACATGTGACTAGATTCTCCCTAACGCAATAAAAGAAGCCTCCGTTTGATCCACTTTCTTTGGCCACAAAAAATGAAAAATATGATCGTTATTCATCATATTAAGTCACCATATTTGACTTTCTATCTTTTTATAGGATCCATAATGACTATTTTTTTCATTCTCATCCTTAAATCTATGAAAATCAAACGAGGCATAAACTTACAATAAGAGTTCGATGGTCTTTCCTATAAGTTCATAACATTGCATTGAGAGAAATTGTGTTTGATACCAAGAAGATATGAAATTGCACTGGAGATAATGACAAGTTCAATGTTTTGGATGAAGTTGTGGTAGTAATTGAGTCACATCGAGGTTGAGCTGTGGTGATCGAATTACACCAATTGAGTGACACCGATGTGGAGCTGTATTGATCAAGTTATGCAGAAAAATGGATTTTTCGCTATTGTCAAAGATTGTGAAGTAATCAAGACGCGTTTTGTGACTAGGACGAGAGATTTGATGATTGCAGTGCAAATAAGCCAAAATGGAGGATAAGGTTTGAAGAGTCTATCAACTTGATTCTGTCTACTACAATTGATTAAAGATTGATGGAATCTACAGGTACAAGAGCGTGACAATAGGTATCGAGACGTGACATGAATTGAGATATTTTAGATTAAAGTGGAGAATCTGAAAAATAAGAAAGTCCAATTGGAAAAAGAAAAAGAATTTTACTTTGACAATAAAAAAAGGAAATATCGCAATAAGGTAAAATAATTCCTTTCATTAAGGAATGTGACCAAAATGGAAATTTTTAGAAAAATTGCATTGGACGAAAGCATCATTTTGCAATCAAGAAAATGATCCTAATATTTAGAGACATTGCATTAAGAATAATAGTGCTCGGCACTATGGTGACTTGAATTCAAGTAGAAAATTACAAGTATCTAAAATTGTGAAAGTTTAGAGAAAGAGAGTTGTAAAGAGAAGCTAGAAAAAAAAATAATGGTAAGAACTATATACGTTGTAGGTTGATTGTTCTAATTTTGGTCCGGGAGAAGTTATGAGAGTGAAGAAATCATTGTATTGTGAGATTTTCTCAACTAATAGAGTCTTCTTCTTCTGTGGTTGTTGCTGATAATCATATTTAATTATTGTTTTTCTCTTTTTGACTCATTTTTGTGGTTCGTTGCGTTACGTGTAATTAATTTTTCATAAATGAAGAACGACAGTAATTGAAATGGAATCATTCATCCAAATTCAATATCCTAATATTGCACCTCTACAATATTTGTACTCGGACCTAATATATATATATTCAAAAAACTTCTATTTTCGTATCCCATAGAAATTGAATATTACGTATTTTTTTGTGTACCGTGTAATCTATCACAAAGCTTCGTTCAAAAAATATGGGACTAACAATTAAATTTTGAATTATTTTTATTTCAATAAAAGAATTGGAGTATTTTGTTCTTTAATGAGTAAAAATAAAATTACAACGGAGTATCGAAAACATTTTAACCGTTTTCTTTCCATCTTAGTATCAATGTTGCAAACAAACAAAATTAGAGAAGATCAATCACCTCGTTGTAAGTGATGCAACTACATTGAATTGTAACGTTAAGTAAATTGAAAATCGATCTCAATCATGAGTTTATAACACCTTCTCATGAATAGTTCAGAGTTGAGCATCAGCTCAACCTTTTTATTTAACATGTGTTTGAACCCCTTTTTTTGATAGAATGAATTTAGTAATAGTGATTTTTTGAATAATGTGTGATAAATAATTTAAGAAAAAATGAGTTTTTTTATATAATGAAGTTAAAAAATAGGCTTACTCTGATGTTATTTTTTAAAAAATCAAAAATGTAATCTGTCAAGCCAGCCAGCCAGCCAGCCCTATGGCTATGAGGGTTAAAATTTTGGTGCACGGTTCAGAAGACAAAACTAGGTACGGAAGTGCATTATGTGGAGTGGGGCCCATCCTCGTCAGCAAGTCCAACGAATTTATCCATTTCGCTCTCAAATGGATAACTAGTAAAAAGCATCCTTATCATTTGTACTCATTGCTAAATCAGTACATATCATTTCAAACTTGACAATTACTTCCTCATTTCAAACATTTCTTGCTCCTTTCCGTTACATTCCATCAAATTCTTCTATTAAATATGTGTAATTTGGTTCAAAACATTCCTGTCGTTTGTTTTCATTACGCAAATAGTCCCCATTGTTTCAATTTTGATATTTCGACACTCATATCAATCTTTCTTTACTTACATGTCCTTATCATATATATTCTTCACTATAATATAGTAAAATGATTAATTTATCATCATTTTGAAATAAATAGAAAAAAGAAATAATATTAAAAAATTATATTCCGAGTTTCATGTTTTTTAAAAAGTACAAACTAATATCACGTAAAATGATTTAAAACATTTAAAAAAAAGAAAAATATTTTATCTCCGCAATTAACCCACCTACACCTACGCCCATCCCCTACACTCCACCACCACCACCAGCACAAAATTAATTAAAGAGATAATTAAAAGTATAATAAAAGTAAAAAACAAAATGGTGCTTATTTCTCATCAAATATTTTATTTATATTTTCAATTATCTTTTTAATTATTTTAATGATGGTGGTGGTGAAGGAAGATAAGCGTAGGGGTAGGTGGATTAATTGAAAAAATAAAATATTTTCTTTTATTGAAATATTTTAAATTGTTTTACGTGAGTTTCGCTTGTATTTTTTTCTTAAAAAAAAATAGAAACTCTAGATACAATTTTTCATATTACTTCTTTTTTCAATTTGTTTATTTAAAGATAATGATAAATTAATCATTTTATAATGTTATAATGAGAAAATGAACGATAAAAATCTTTTTAAGCAGAAAAATATCGATCTAAGTGTTCAAATTTCAAAATTGAAGTGAAAGAGACTATTTGAACAATTAAAGCAAATGATAAGAACGTTTTGCATCAAATTAAAAATATTTAAAGGATGGATTTAACGGAAATGATGAAAAGGACCATTCTGCAATAAATGTTTTAAACGAGGGTATAAATGATAAATTTAAAACTATAAGGACCGTCTTCACAATAAGTCCAAACTTGAGGAATGTTTTTTGCTAATTACTCTTCTCAAATCTAAACCCGTGTGCTCTAAAAATCTAAAAAAGATTTATTTCTGTCCCCGTCTATTGTCCAAATTACCCCCACTTTTTCTACCCAATTTCTCTTGATTATTTGTCAAAATCAAATAATAATAGTAACTGTAAATTGGATTGCAACCCGTTTGGAACTTTTAATTTTTACTGTCCATTTAAAATATTAGCAAAATTTGTTCTGTCTTGTATTTCAAATGCTTTTCTTTTACTTTTGAATTTATAATTTTTACAAAAATGTGTTTTATAATAAAGTTTTCATTAATTATGAAGAAAAATCACAATTACTCGTTGAACTTTTTCTCAAGATTGTATTCCAATATTGAAGATCCCGTCGTGAATATAATAAAAGTTATCTTTTCAATAAATTTAAGACTTATTTTAGGTAGCTTGGTTCAAAATCATTTATGTTCCAAAAATTAAAGACGTAGAATCTCTATAAAAATGATAAGTATGAAAAATCAAAAGCCATTTCAAATTGACAACAAAAGAATTGGTGAGCCAACCTTAGACGTATATTGCAATGATTGAAGAAATGTAGACCCCGAACGAACGGTGGCGTGTTGCCTCGTCATGTCATAGAGGATATTATATACAAATTATAAAAAGAAGGATTTTGAAGAAGAATGTGAAAATGTGGAAAATTTTTGGGTTGCCCATGTAATTTTTCAAAAGATTTGTGTTACTGTTGCAAAATTATTTATATCATTCCAGGGTTCATACTAATTACTAAGCAACCCACCATATGCCCTAATGCAAATATTTTTTTTTGAGGGGTTTGATTCTCTCCTCCTTTCAATTCAATATATTCTAACTCAGCTGTGTTTTGATGCTAATATTTTTAAGATCTGTTTTTGCTAGATTCTTGATTTGATTTTTTTATTTGATTTGATTTTTTTTTCGTTTTGAATTTTCAGGAGAAATTCTGTAGTGGATCTTGAATCTATTTCCATAAATTATAAGAAGAGGAAATGGACTGTGGTTTGAAGCATCAGATGATTTCTCATTCATCTGTAGAGGATGAATACATCATGGATATGGGATCTGAAAATTATGGGTATATATTTTCTTTTTAATAAATATTTCTTTGTCTACTTTTTTACTGTGTTTTTAACTTTTTGGCTACTTTTTTTCTTCTGGAAAAAAGTAATTTCAGCAGCAGAAATAAATTAGGTGTTAATTTTAGATTATATTGAATAATTTTTCAGCTGCTCGCATTACCGGAGAAGGTGTAAGATTATAGCACCCTGTTGCAATGAGATATTTGATTGCCGGCACTGCCACAATGATGCAAAGGTTGAACCTTTTATGTATTGTTAATTTGTTTAAAATTAAGATTTTAGCAGAAATTTTTGGAAATAACTCTTATGATTCTTGAACAGAATTCAATAGAAGTCGATCCACTTGAGCGTCATGATATTCCCCGTCACGAAATAAAAAGGGTTAGTTTATTTTACTTGCATTTCTTTTATTATGTGTGTAAATGTTAACATAATGTGGATACAAATAGGTGTTTGGCTTTTTTTTTTTTTTAATTAGTTCTTTTAATTTATTTCCTTGTCATATAGAAAAGAAAATGACAAGAAGGATTTTTATTTTCGGGATTTTTCTGTCAAATTATGTCAAAATTCCAACGTTATCCGTGTCGGATGAATGTGTTGTTTGATAGGCGGACAAGCTATGGCATTTATGATTTGTCCCATGATACAGCTTCTTATGGATAAAGGCATAAATACTTTGTTTTATTTCCTATCCTCTTTTTGTTTGACACCGATATTAACCGGTCTGAGTCGACAAGTTTGTATTTTTTTATTTTTTTTCCTAGTCATCCGTAAGAATGTCTGCGTTC